ATCTGTCCATATTGTCGGAAGTTTGACTTCTAAACTTCCTTCGATTATTTATATAATTTATGTGTAAATTTGTCATGTTGAATTTCAGGGGAATAGATCAGGATGAAAATTTCCCCAAGAATGCTTTTACCAAGGCCCTGTGAGGATCTCCAGGCCCACACCAAGTTTTCAGTTTGGCATCCCAAACCTGTTTCACTGAATGAAATGACCAACCCATAATGAACACAAGTTTTTCCAAGTTTTTCACTAATTCAGAGTAGCTGAGGATGACATGCAAATGTATGCGTGCACACAGGAGATGAGTGATTGATAGATAGTTGTTTGCACAGATCAGTGCTGATGAGCACCTTGCAGGTACTCAATATAGTGCTGTCGAGTTTCTTCTATGACTGGAAAGAATGATCCAAATGATCTTCGCGTATTTGGGGGGCGTTCTAGTGCCAGCCAGCTATGCTGTGGATGGTTTGTTTGGCCACATAGAGCTGAAAGAAGTCGGTCCAGTTCTGGTATCTCTCTCCATGGCAACCCACTTCTCTTTGGAATGGCATGCCTCCACTAGTGTCTTCTTGGTACCATCCAGTTCAGACTCCATTCTGTCGAACCAGAAGCCTTCTCCAAACTGAGGACTCCCCCCACATTTTAGACACAGAAACCCATAGAAACCCTCTCTTAAAGATTCCTGAATCACAATATCTATCGATATCTTGGGAGTGGTCTCACCTCTGGCCATGAGTTTCTTGAGACCAGCGCCTGAGGCACAAGCCGCTCTTTTGGGGAATTTGTGGTGTCTTGGCAATGAAGCTCCGGTTTTCCTGGTGTTTTTTTTTCTGCGTATCCTATCCTACCATGTTCAAAGACTCGCACTGTCCGTAGCATCCCAAAGCACGGCAGCATGTGGATTTAATTCTTACTTTTTGCTCAGATACAAACTACTATAGGTCAACTATTAAGAGACGACATGTACAGATGAACGCACTGCCTAGAAACCATCCTTGTAGTGAGTTCTATCTCCGTCGGGTGAAATAATTTTTAACTGCAGTGCATCATCCAACTTTACATCTTGTTATGAAATGGATGATGGGGATGGTTATATGTTCACCTTAATTAGATGGTTTTTCTGTCGTTGAATAATCCATTGAATAATCCAAATAGCAAGGGAGTGGTTTTCAACTTTAGGCGCCATCGTGTTCCGCATGGCCTTCTTTGTGGTGGGCGAAGTGCTGGTGCCACCGTGGCTTCCGATCGGTCCAAGTCGTTGAGTTTGATGGTTGGAATTTCGGACAAGTTGCCACTGAGCTCTTGCAGAAGATTTCAAGTTTCCTAGATGTTGCAGTCCAATCGAGTCCAATCCGGCGAAGGTAAAAGAAGCTGAAATGTGCTAGGCCGTTTTTGAATTCATTGGGCTCACTAAAAGCTTGCAGAGGTAGATGTAGGCCCTATTGGAGTCATTGTTTTTGGATCTGGAGTTCACTGAGTTCACCAAATTTCAGAAGTTGCGCCAGATGCATGCCTTTTGGGCGACTCACTTCTTCCTGGGCTTCTTCTTGATCTACACCGGCTACAAGGCAAGATGGCTCCGAGGGAGGCCAGCTGGCAAGTTCATTGCAGTTCACCTCCAGTTTGGCGGCAAAAAAAATTGCGGCTTCATGTGTGCTATCCATGAATCTACCAGGAATTACTATTTTTTGCCCCATGTTTGACCTCAGTTTCTGGGTATACCGGGTATGTGTTTCCAATCTTCTGAGTCTTTGCTTTGGCCTCAGATCCTCGGCATGGAAGAAGATGATGAGGAACGCCATGGAACGACCGACTGGATGTGGCACATGCCATGCATGGCAGTTACATTAAGTTATTACTTGTTACTGTTATCGCAGGGCAGTTACACAAAAAACACGCACTATGTGTGCGTCATGTGGGCTTGTGAATCGTTTTTCAAAGTGTATAAATAACTCAATTCCAGTGGCTGATTTGTTCCAAACAAAAAGCCAGAAGGTTTGTAGGGTCTCTATTCTTGTTGAATTTGCAATTGCTGATCCGTATGTACACATACAAAGGGCACTGTTGAACCCAACTGGGCTAACAAAATTGCAGGAGGAAACCAAAAGAATCCGATAGGCAAACAGTGAATACCTCATCATTTACTTCGATATGAGAGGGCCACTTTAAAGAGATATTTTCTGTGGATATAACCTGCAAGGTAAATATCACTGATGTTCGTGAGATATTTGTAGCATCACCAAACTGAGCAACTCCCCTCAGGATGTCCCGAACCAGAACCCCATCTTTCTGTGGCTCATCAAGACCGGTGGGAAGCAGGGCGGGAACTCAAATGTCTCAGGACAATGGTCTTGTTGTATGTAAAGTGACCTCCAAGATTCTTCTACTGAGAATGTAGAATTGTAGTTTTCTCTATAAGTTGCTATCAGAGACAGGTTCATTGTGAGCTTCCAACAAAGTAGACCTCAACCAGAGAGTTCATAGGCCGGATTCCCGACAAGCTGGTTGAAGTGATGAGTTGTCTTCTGGATGTAATGTGGATCAATTCTCATGGAGGTCATTGGACTGAACCAGATATGAAGACAAGCAGTGCTTCCATCTTCCACTCATGGAACATGTGGGACCCATCATTGAGTGGCCATAGGCTGCCATGACCTCGAGATTTCTCGCAGGAAGATCAAGCTGATCGACTCCTATTCGCCTGAGTTGGAAGCCAAAGAAATTGGCCATGGGCTGTTTGGATTTGTGCTGTTTGGCGGCAACAGCAAAAGTCATCCAAGTGGAACCAAGTTGAAACGAGTTGACCCATCCGAGTTGCACTCTTTTCTCAGATTTTTCTTAGACTTTTCTCACCTTTCTCACCTTTCCAGACTGAGATGTCTTTTGGGAGCAAGCACCCCATGAATTGAAGCATACGTTGTGGATTTCTGTCACGCCAAGATTGATCGTATTTCCAACATCGAACAGGCAAGATCCATGACCCAGCGGCTTCGCAGGCCAAAGTTCTTCGCTCAGGCTTCAGTGGATGCGAACACCCAGGACTGGGAGTCAAAGTTGACATTTCTATGATTTGTGATGCTGGGTTCGCTGTGTTCCTGATGCTGTTGATTTTTGCATTCAGTGTGACCCTGAGATGTGGACCAGTTATGCATTCCATTAACATTTCCAGAATGTCTCCAGTCACCGAGTCACCCGTGTCAGAGGAGCCTGTCTTGCCGGACTGGTCACCACGAATGTCTCCAGACTCAGACAGAATTCGCCTTGTTTTTGCAGGTCCTATGGTCCTGAAACATTTGTCATGTCCCTCCCCCGGAAATTGTGGATGGCCAAGCTCATGTCTTCTGAATGCCTTTTGAATCCGTATAAGTGAATCTGAAGCAATGCGGCGGATTCCAACACAAGCAGTGGATGTGGCAGCAATTGGAAGACCCACTGGCTCCAACATCATGTCACCATAGTGAGATCAAAGCTCTGCCTTTCAGATTTCCAGATTTCCGCCTATTCCTCATCTCATTTTGCCCTTTCTCATCCATAGTGCCAACGTGCGTGCGCTGCCCATGAATGAAGGAACACTATGTCACAGATTCTGCAGCAGAGTCATTTGTTCATGAGGGGTCGATGGCAAGTCTAATCATTTGGCTCTAATTCAAACTTCGCAAAGTCGATGGTGTAAGGTCCTTCGATCGAGACAAGACACATCCCACTCCAATGGTTAGGGAGTTCCATGTCGACTCCGTGGTCCGAGGTTGCCGAAGGATTGCGATGCAGAACGCTCAGAGAGGGAGGCTTGAAAATGCATTTGCAACACATTACTTCTTCTTACTTGGAGGGCATTCTCAGGTCTCAACCCAGCAAAAAAACTACTTGAATTGCTGGATCTCAGTTCTTCTACCAATCTACTTTCTCGACCCAAGACTTGGAGGTCTTTGGCATGATTGTGGGTTGAAGGGCAGACCATCGCAGGATTAGTGGCCTTCAGCAATCAACCTTTCAGTCCAATCCACCAAAAGAGAACAATATGAACTGGTTCCACTTGCTGCACGAGACAAAGCTGCGCATGCCTTCATTTCAGCTGGAATCACTTCAGTATTCGTGCTGGAATATATGTTGAGCTTGTCTCCCAATTTTTTGCTGTGCAGCTTAGGTGAACAATCCCACCAAGGGCCGCGACTTGACCTATGGGAGCTGTGTCCAAGCATCAACGAAATGCGTTTTTTCAGACACGTCAGACATGTCAGACATATCACAGAATCGGACCTGGTTTATGATTTGCCAAGAGTATCTTTCAAGCATGCAAAGAATCGGACCCGTTGCCAATTCATAGAACTTAGCAGCAAAGGTGAAACGCTTAATTGTCCAAAACAAATCTGGTGCACAGATGCAGCTTTGGTATGTAAACCAATCTGGCAGAAAAATGCGACTTCTGCTGGCAGGACCTATGCAACACGCCTTGTGTTGGTGGTGCTTTGCCTTGAGGAGCGGGCTGTGTCGGTATTACAAGCTGCTCACCGATTGAAGTGTTATAAAAAATCGTATGTGTGCACCACTGTGCACCTGAATCCCAAGTTGGTCCCATCCTGAAACTTCAAGTTGCCACCCGAGCCGCTGCCAGCTGACTGATGTCGCTTTCGCTGCACGGAAGCCCATCCGAGGGGCAAATCATCTTGGCAGGAGAATGCCCATGCGAGATATCCTGATATCCGGCAAGATAAAAATGTTTGACTTGTTTGATTCCTCAATGATCTTCTGTACATATTTGACTTTGAGCGGTTGGCTCTTGCCTGAGCGCCTCATGCCCTGATTGTGCTTTGTTTCTTAGACGTTTTTATATTGATTGGTTTCCCAAAGAAGGATTGACGAAACCTGGTAGGAAAATTGTGAACCTCATGAACACGAATCCTGAATGACTGGATCATTCTTTTTGCAACGGTGGTGGTTGGATTTTGTTTACAACGGTTGCTTCCGCAGAATGGACCAGCTCATGCGACTGCAAAAGGTCGACTCTGTTTCCGCCATCATCGCGCAGATCCCGGATTTATTTCTGGCCACTCGGCAGCTCGGAGAATCTTGGAAACATGTAGATTCAAAATTGATCATATTGATCATTGAGGGGACTTCGTTTGGATGATTTTGGAAGCTTTGGAGGAGGATCGAAAGATTCAGTCGCATTTGTTGCATACTGACTGCTTTTATTGTTTTGGAAGTCCAAGGGTCTCTACACCTCATGTTCAGAACTGCACAGAAGTCTTTGTACAGTGTTTGGATGGTCCCATGAACCAGCACATTTTGTACTGGTTATTGGCGTCGATATAGGCTTAGCTCTCATAAGCTTGCAATTCGGTGCCAGACAACTAGTCATTGCGCGGTTTGTATCATTGTCAAAAGAATTGACATAATGCATTTGCAATGAAGACTCATTGAGTTGCTTCACCAAAATATCACCTGGTGAGTTCAGTTGCTTCATCTCCACTTGAACCTTTACTAGCTTGGGCGGCATTTTCTGACCGTGAGTTCAAGCAAGCAACACTCCATACAATCTGAATACCTTTGGGCTCCCCCACTTCGGGACCCACGCAGCGGGCAAAGCGTATGTGCAACAAGAGTCATTCTTATTTTCTTTCGAGGCAGCTGTCAATATCCACGACGAGCCACTTGAACGATTCCTTCAAAAAAATGATGGCAATCGCTAAAATAAAAAGGAAAGAATGGAAAAGAGTTGTGACAGGGTTCTCCTGTCGCAGTGACAATCCCAAGATGAAACTGGCCCAGGCGTATACTGCCTGTGTTTTCGCGATGCTAGGCATCGTGTCACAGGGATTTGCAACTGGAAAAAAGGGACTTATGAACTGCCCACAAGATGAAACTGTCCATGAACTTTGTTTTAGTGGAGGTGAAAGTCAAGTAATGTTGCTTTGTTTTCCTTTCGTGTGTCACAAGCAGCTCTAGCACTTGCTGTCACTTGCTGTCACTTGCTGTTCTTAGATGGTTGTAAACTTTAGATGAAGGCCGCAGATCCATTTCGCCAGGGCTCCGTGCCACCTTCTTTGCCGTTGATGAGCTGGTGAAGCTCTTTACACTTCTGCCAGGATCAGAGTCTTTTTTTTGCGTCAGCGGAAGCTGCCAGGGCTGACATGAAAAGGATCATTGCGATTGTGATGCATTGTGATGCTAGGATGTTGAAGCTTGCTATGCTGAATGGTTTGAAGTTATGAGTTATGAATATGAATATTTCACAATGCATCACTCATCCCCAGCATCCCAGAATACCATGAGGCCCTATGCCGTGTCGGTGATCTTGATGTTCATTGGAGCCAAGCTGGTTTGGGACTTGAAGTCCGCAGTGACACAACGGGATCCCTTTGTTGGCTTGGAGCTTGCATTTTAGTTGAGGGGTATTGAACCATCAATTTCCAAGCTTTCTCCTCAGCCGGACCAAGTCAGTTAGTTGTTCCGGCACGCGCAAGAAAGTTTCATTTTGGTTCTTTGCACAGGCAATTAGAGGTGAAGAAACACCGCATGCCGGACAAGATATCATTGATTCTGTTCCGACTGTTCTGATCCTGCACAAAGAACTTTGACTCTCCGGCAGTGGCGGGGCTGTTTACAGACTGCAACACCTGAGGTCTTGAGAGGCTGGATTCATATCCCAGCAGAGGCGGGATGCAGCGTGGAACCTTGAGTGATTTGAAGTGAGAAGCTTCAAAGCTTGTCACGCAAGTTGTACATCGACAAACCAATCAAGTTTGTTTCTCCTTGAAGTGCCTCAGCTCTCAGCTGGCTAGGGGGATTGGTACTGATTGCTGGTTTTCCGTGTTGTTTTAAACCCTTTGATGCCTGCATTTATGGCATATCTGACATGAAGATTTGAATCCACGGTTTGCAATAAGTTTGTTTGAGATTCATGAGACACTTCATGATGTCCGATCCCGTCCCGGAAGGTCGTTTGTGTAACCCTCGTTGGAGTCCTTCTAGTCAGTGGCAGCCTCAGTGCTGGAAGACTTGGAAGGTGCTGTCAACGGGTTGTCAACAGATTGTCAACGCACTTAGCTGAGATCCAGGGTGTTGAACAGATCAACCCGTTGAATGGGAGATCAGCGAATTGAAAGCCGCTTTCCCGTTCCAAGACACAGTTTATTTGCATCGGGCTAAAGACCTCTTGCCAAGTTCAAGTGAAGTTCTTTAAGACAAGCTGTTATATAATTATGTCACAATGATTCATAATGTCATCAAAAGAATTTGGAGGTTTGCAGAGGCAAAAATTGGTAAATTTTCGCAAATCTTGAAAGTCTCTTGGGCGTTTTTGCAGCTTTGATCCTCCGTTGCGAGGTATTGTGGCTTCAGTGATCTTCGACTATTTCAAGCCAAAAGAGGTGCGATTCGGCGATGAGGTTACGGTCATCCAAACGGGGTCGTTTGAAACGGGGGACTGATTTGGCTGAGGATAGGGACTGGTTATGGCTATGCGGCAGTTGACAACAGCTTCCTTTGCCACAGAAGTTGTCGAATTTGAGCACCAGCTTGGGGAGGGAGGGGAGGGAGGAGCTTGATTTAACTCAGCTTCGACTCGCCAAGTGATTCGGAGATCCAACTAAGCTCTGTTCCTTCTTTGTGTGAGACTTTTACTCAAGAAAACCCGTATAAGCCACTTGGCTGTCCCGGTTGTGTCCAGGTTGTGTCCAGGTTGTGTCGAGGGTTGTGTCGAGGTTGTGTCGAGGTTGTCTGGTGACAGCCAAGAGATACGTGGGAAACTGCGATGTCACTACTTTGAATGTCAAATCAGTGAGATTCTTTGTGTGACATGGTTTTGGACTTTGGATTGTCCAGGATGAAGACGAAGAGGCTGGGACTGAGAAGATGAATTCGCCCTTTCAAAAGCCCTCATCGGTGACCATGCTGCAAGGTGAAGCCTTACATGAGCCCCTTGGGCTCTTCAGAAATGAAAATTGCCAAGGCTGGCCAATCAAACCGATACTGATTGCAAATGTCCAAACTGTTCAGATCTCTTGATGTTGACAATTAGAAGTCTCGTTTTGGTTTAGCTATTGTTGTGTAGTTTTTGGCGCTCTTTGACTCGGAAGCTAAGTGAACCATGTGATAGCTTGCTTCTGTTCAGCCAGCTGCCAGGCTGAAGACACAGATGCGTGAGCAACTCATATGCATGTGATCCAAAATAATGCAAAATAATGAAATTTGTAATGGTCCAAAAATGTCCAAAACAGCAATTTCGCATTTTTCCATTTCTCTCCGAAAGACTTGGCAGAGGATCTGGGGTGGAGCCTTGTTTGCTGTTCATTGTCCTCGACTTGCCTCTAATCATATCTCCATGCCTGTGGCGTTTGCGTCAAGACGTGACGTTTTGAAGGTGTGAAATGTCATTTGTGTCGGCATCTCCACAGCGCATGGAGTGCAGAGTGTGGAAGGGTGTTGTGCAGTGCAGAGTGTGAAGTGTAAATTGTGAAGTATACAGTGTGGAGTGTGAAGTGTAGATGAAGTGTTGAGTGTGTGTGTGTGTAAAGTGTAGTGTGAAGCGCAGAGTGTAAAGTGTAAAGTGTTTAGAGTGCGGCGTGATGTGGGGTGTCCAGTGTAGAGTGTAGAAGGCGAGTGTGGAGTGTGATGTGTGGAGTGTGGGGGTGCAGAGCATAGGGGTCTGAAGTGTAGTGTGTAGAATGCAGACTGTAAAGTGCAGAGTGTGAGGGTGTGGAGCGGGGGGGTGAAGTGTCTAGTGTAGAAAGTGTTGGCCTTTTCGTGGTTCTATCCTTTTCTCTCACTCTGGGCCCCGGCACTTTTCTTGTAAATTTCCGTGTAAAGTGGCTCTTGTGAAATGTCGAAGTGCATTTTGATTCTTCAGGCTCGCACAAAGTGTGGTCCCAAGTTGTGGGCGGCAGCATTTTTCCTGCAAATTTCCATATAAAGTGGCTGCGCAGGCTCGCACAAAGTATGGTCCTAGGTCTTGGGATCGGCCCCCCTCCTCAACATCATCATCATCATCCATATCATCTTCCTCCTCCTCAACATCATCATTCTCAAGATCATGATTTTCCTCCCCCTTCACATCATCATCCTCAACTTCATCATCCTCCACCTCATCTTCCGCAACATCATCCTCCTCCACCCCATCTTCCGCAACATCATCCTCCTCCACCTCAGCGTCCGCAACATTATCATCCTTTTCACCATCCTCCTCAACATCATCATCCTCATCTCATCATCATGACTTCCCTCCTTCTCAACATCATCCATCATCCTGCACCTTAACCTCCTCCATTTCATTTCCCGCATTACCATCCTCATCCTCATCCTCCTCAACATTCTCATCCTGCATTACCATCCTCATCCTCATCCTCCTCAACATTCTCATCCTGATACTCATCCTCATCCTCCGCAACAGCATCATCCTCCTCATCCTCCTCAACATCATTCATCATCCTCACCATCAACATCCTCAACAGCATCATCCTCAACCTCATCATCCTCAACATGATCATCGTCCTCTTTCTCAACATCATCTTCCTCCAGCTGATCATCCTCTACTTCATCTTCCGCATTATCATTCTCATCCTCATTCTCCTCAACATCATCCATCAACATCCTCAACATCATCATCCTCCACCTTATCATCCTCAACACCCGCGTACACCTCATCATCCTTTACCTCATCATCCTCCTACACCTTATCATTATCATCAATATCATCATTATCATCGTTATCATCATTATCATCAGTATCATGATTATCATCGTTATCATCATTATCATCAGTATGATCATCATCATCGTTGTCGTTATCATCATTCTCGCCGGGATATGTACAGTACCGCTGCACCTCAGTGCCATAAGTGCCACGCCTGCCACGCAAAGTGAAAATGGATGCCACTAAGCAAAACCAAGGTAGATGTTACCAAGCAAGTGCCACATCTGCCACGTGAAACGAAGGTGGATGTTACCAACTGTGAGATGGCGTGAGAAAGATGGTGTGTGACAAAGTTGTGTGAGTGAGATGATG